CCCTCAAGCCTTTGCAATTTTCACTTAATATCAGGGACTGACAGTTACAATGGCATTATTTTTTTTTTTTTACTAAAGAAAAAAACAGAAAAAGGGTACAAAAATACAAAAAAAATTTTTTTGTCTTTTTCCTTTTTATCGGTACCAGGGCTCAAACTCACGACTGCCTGCTTGCAAGGCAGGCGCTTATGCCGCTGAGCTAAATCCCCAGCCCCAAGTAATACAAAATTTTAAAAATAAACAATAAGAAATCACTAGTTAATAGGTTACATATTCTCATCTTAGAAATAGTTGTTCAAGTTACAAAATTGAAGCACATAAAGTGGACTTTCAAACAGTGAGAGTGCAAACAGTTTTGTTCAATGATCCAAAAAACTCAGTAATATGGTTATCTATCTTATACACTTAAACATATATGCAGTTATAACCTTTAGAGCACTTTCTTTTCTTTTCTTTTGTACAATGACAATTACACATTTTGGGTTTTATTACTCCCACAGTTCTTATTACTTTTTTTGAAGAAAGTAAAACCAAATGCGACATATCAGAACAGAGTCAGTCAAATCAAAAGGATGGACATAATAGATAATGTAAAAACAAAATACAAGGTGATCAACAATGGTTACCATACTGCCTCTTGCTATTTTAAGAAGAATTGCCAGTTATAATAAAATTGAACAAAACAGTAAAGAATAAAACCAAAGCATTGGAGACATTACAGGACTTTAAAAGAAGACAATAGTCAACCGGAATGGGCATCATAATGAATCTTATTGTCTTCACAGTTTTGCCTATACTTTCGAACTTGGTACTATCAAGCAAAGCAGAATAGGGGAAAATCAGTCAAAACAAGATGGTGAGGGCAATAAGGATTTTAAGTCAAGTTAATAGGAAATCAAAGTAGGTTACTATAATGTATCCTGCTATTTTTTATTTTCCCTTAATTAAAAAGATAAAAAGAAAAAAGTAAATAATAAAAAAAGGGATTGAGATAAAAGAGGGCATAACAACAGAACAGCACAGGTCAAAACATAACCATTTAAACAAAATAGTGTTTCACCACAAGATATCCTGACATAAAAATAGTTACCATAGTGTCTCTTTCCTTAAAATCTTTGAGTATAACTTCGTATACTATAGCACCAAACATATCAAGACACTATAAAACCATTCAAGAGAATGACATTATTACAGGGTATTTAGAACCAATTAACAGAAAATGAACAATGGTTTCTGTATAATCTCCTTGTCTATAAAAGTTTTTACTTATCATATATAATAAAATCCAATAAGATACAACCTTTTAAGACTGATGGAGACAGAAGAATACAAGTTTGATGGGACTTCAAAACAAGATGATACTAAATCAGCACTAGCTATTATGATGTCTTGTTTTCTCCAAAATAGCTGTTCCTATCATCCAATCTTCTCTGCCTCATTTCTGTTGAGCTCTTTTTCTGTCGTTTGTTGTCAGTTTGTCTTCTTCATTTTGCTTTCTGCTCCATTCATTGTGGCCTCTCTGCCACTATTTCTGGAATCTTGGTATTTTCCTTTTTTAGAATATCCCACAGAATTCTCTGTAGAGTTGACTGGTGGTTGCAAATTCCCCTAGTTCCTCTTTATCCTGGAAGCACCTTGTTTTTCCATCAATTTCTAGGGATAGTTGTGCAGGATATATCAATCTTGGCTGGAGGTTATTATCTTTCAAAGCTTGAATTATTTCCCTCCATGCTCTTCGTGATTTGATGGTTTGTGCCAAGAAGTCTGCTGTAATTCTGATGGGTGTTCCCTTGTAAGTGATCTGTTTCTTGTCTCTGACGACTTTTAATATTCTGTTCTTATATTGGATGTCTGGAATTTTGATTATTATACGCCTGGGTGTAGCTCTGTTTAGGTTGTAGGTGGCTAGGGTCCCGTATGCCTCATACATCTGAGTATCTTTACCATTTGCTAAATTAGGGAAATTCTCTTGGATTATTTCTGTGAATAGCTTTTGTAGTCCATTTGTTTGTGTCCCTACTTCTTCTTTTATGTTCTTAATTCTTAAGTTATAGATCCTCTTATCATCTTCTAGCCTTTGTATTGTTGCTGTTTTTTTGTTATTTTAAAGAAGTTTTTCATTTCATGCTCCCATATTACAAATCTGCCCTCCAGTTCAGATAATCTATCCTTAGTTTCTTTCAAGCTGTTATGCCAGCTTTTGATAGAGTTTTTAGTTTCTTGGTAATCTCTTTGAACCTGCTTCACGTATTCTATGTTTTCTCTATTTTCTCCATCAAACAATTCTCCCCTTTTTTTCTGTTCTTCCATTCCACCATCTGCTTTTTCTTGGGCGGTGCTTAGCATTCCTCTAACTATTCTACTCATATCTTGCTTCAGGCCATTAATAACTTCATTCCTGAACTCATCTATGAGGCTCTGGAGATAGCGCTTTATGTCTATTGGTGCTGTGTCTGATATTGCATGTTTCTAAGGATTGGGGGCCGAGGACACTTTCTTGTTTCTCCTTCTTCCCATATTTTTTGTTCCTTTTATACAAGTGTATATAGTAGGCCCAGTTTCTTTATCAGTTACAGTTTGTTTGAATTGCACCAGCTAGGTGTTCCCACCAACTGCAGTGTACTAGGGAGACACAAACCTGGGCAGCCTATGCTGGGTCCACCCCTCCAGGTCAACCTACTGAAGGCTTCACTGCTAGGGTGCACCTCCAGGTGCTGGGACCTGGTTTGGGCTAGCCTACTGGGTCTTAGTCAGTGGCAGGCTAGGCACTCCCCACCAAACCCACTTGAAAGGGGAATATGTGACTGAAGTCACTGCAGCATCCTGTCCAGCCAGCCTGCCCGGTTCCAGTATGTCCTTTGCTGAAGCCTCCTACTCTATGGAAGGGTCCCCGATCTGCTCACTCACTGCAGGTCGATGCAGAGCTCCTGGCCAGTCTCGCTCTCAACTCCATTCACCGCTTCCCATGCTCAGAGCTTTCACACCTCTCTCCTTGCCATGCCAATTGGGATGCAGAGGCAGCTGCAGGAAATTCAAATCGCAGCTTCCAGTGGCACGGGGTCCAGTTTCCACGCTGAGACCTTATCTGTTTCTGTTATATCACCGGGATTGCATTTCCAGTTGGTTTCTCTTAGTTTAGTTCGTTCCTGGGTCGGCAAAGTATATCTCCCCTTGCTTAGGATTTCTCGCCTGGCAGCATTCCTGGATTTTAAGTGTGATTTCTCAGAGAGACTCCGAAGCTGCTGCTATCTATCTGCCATGTTCTCCCAGAAGCCCTACAATGGCATTTTTTTTTTTTGTCTTTTTCCTTTTTATCAGTACCAGGGATCAAACTCACGACTGCCTGCTTGCAAGGCAGATGCTTATGCCGCTGAGCTAAATCCCCAGCCCCCATACAATGGCATTATTAATGGCCCTTACTTTTCAGGTGCTGCCGGATCTATAGGTGTACAAATGTAATAGGCCTCTAGCAATCTCTCCAGAAACCCCGAGGGAGACTCATCATCCAATTGTCTCACCTCTGCTACCTTGGACAAATTGGTGGGTTTTCTGGCAGCCCTTAAAAGGCTTCTGAGAACAACTGGTGATACCGAAGGAGAGCCTTCTTAACTCTGGTTGTCCAATCAGGGTGGGACAAAGGAAAACATGGTTCTGGCATTCAGGATCAGAGGACAGGTTTTCATCTGGAATGCACACTGCTTTTTATCCCGCAGCATGAACGTTCTCTCTCTTTTCTACTGTAAACAAAACCTGCAAAGTCTGTTGGCAGTCGTCCCAAGTGAGATGATGAATGGAGAAGACAGATTCTCCCCCTTTTTAGAACATAATCTTATTTTAATGGAAACATTTTGTAGTAAAGGTTTACTGATCCAATTCTGTCAAATTCTGAACACATTTGTTTTTCTGTTTCTTACTTATTACCAGTCAATTACCTTTTCTCTAGCTTTTTAGACAACATTAAAACTTTTAACAAAATCCTTGAAGTGACTTTCTTAGTAGTCTAAAATATATTAAATCATTTTATGTCTTTTTACTACCTTAAAATGTTACACTTTAAAAACAGTAACTTTTTGGGGCTGGGGACTTAGCTCAGCGGCATAAGTGCCTGCCTTGCAAGCAGTCAGTCGTGAGTTCGATCCCCAGTACCGATTAAAAAAAAAGAAAAAGACAAAAAAAATAAGAAAAAAAAAACTGTTAACTTTTCAAACTGGCTCAATAACAGTATGACCTAGCTTTACTTGGTAAAGTCAATATGATTTTTAAAACCATAAACATATATATATATATATATATATATATATATATATGTGTGTGTGTGTGTGTGTATGTGTGTGTATGTGTGTAAATATACATATGCATATATATATATATATATATATATATATATATATATATTTACATTTTAACCAGAAAGAAAAATACTTTTAAAGGCATGCCAAGGTTGTACATAATCAGTTGAGGACTAAAACATTAAACAAGGCACCACAAAAGACAAGACCAACATTAAAGACACAAACAAAGGTTTTTCTGTCCATGGTTCAGCGACCTAAAGGGAAATAAATTTTCATTATGACCCTTAAGTCCAATAAGCCACACAGAACCTGCAACAGTAGTTTAAGAGAAAAAAAAAATCTGAATGCTAGTACTGAGGTAACAGATTCAAATGAACAAATGGCTCCACAATAAAAATATACCAAGCACAAAACCAAATGGATAAAAAATCCCAAATCACAAATGGGCTAGAAGCCCTGTCCCAGAGGGACAGTGCGGAAGAAGCCAGCCAAGCTCATCTGCAACTTCAAATGTGCACACTCAAATTACAAAGAACAAAAGACTCAAATACTTACAGATGGTTCAAGCCAATCCATTGGTGAAAAAATGTGGGGAGATGTCTCCGTGTAATCCCAGACGAGCCCCCAAATGTTGTAACCCACCCAAAACACAAGGCCCCATGATGAAAAACAGAGCAAGACCCCCAAGATGATCAATGGGGCAAGACATCTTTTTAAAAGAAGTGCTTTTATTTTAGCTGGCCCAGCAACACAGTGCAGATAGAATTTGCAAAGCTGTGTAACTGAGTTAGAATTTTGACTGATTTTTATAGTTTGTTTATGATTAGCTCATTGATCATTAAGTACATAGTAATGAGAAACAGAAACAAGGTAGGCCTTTGTTCCCCTTTGCTTGAGGTCAGAGGCATTTCACAGTGGGTGGTTAGCCAATTCATAGCCCCTGGTCTGCCAATTCCAGGAACATTTGTCTCTCATAAAGGGAACAATGGTTGACACAGCATCATCTGTCTCTTACAAGCGGAACAAAGGTTGACATAGCACATAGGTTACTTGGGGGGGCGACACGTATAGAACAGCATAACGACACAGCCAGTTAATCTCTAACTATGTGGTTGGCACTTGGTTACTAGGGTAACAAGCTCAGTACAGAATGACAATACTGCTTATAACTATCCTTTTAACTATCTTTGCTAATTACCTTTAATCAATTATTTTAATTTTTCAGCATCTTAGTATAACAGTCAGTGAGGCCTGAGGCCCAGCACCTACAGGTCAGCCTTAGTCTGGCCCACAGCTCTTGTTCACTCCTGGAGCCTGACTCTTAGAGTCTGGAGTAGATAAATCTCAGCAGGTTGTCCAACTGCTCCTCTAGCTGCTGCTCATCTCCATGGTTCTCAATGACCCAGTCAAAGCCCCCAATGTTGTCCAGGCCACATTCTGACTCAGCATCATCCACCCCTGTGAAAGAGACATGGTGAAATCAGGCCCAGCCTTTAGACAAGCCCAGAAGAAATCACATCTGTGAGACCCATCTTCCCTCACGCTTTCTGTGGCCCCAGGAGTGAGACTTAACCTCTCTGGACCAGTGCCCTTATGGGCCACAGAGCACAGAAACAGTGGCATCTATATAGTGTTGGCTATGGTGTGAGCAAAGCTGACATGTGACGTCTGCCCACCATCAGCCACCACCAAGCTGGACAGCAGAGGGGAAGGGCATGGGGTGCACCCCAGCCAGCCTTCCAGAGAAGCTCGCTACTCTCAGAAGATAGTCTGGGCAGTCAGACCAAGCCAGGTGGACCATACCAGGGGCTCAGGCAACCCTAATCTTCCCAAATACTCTCTGCCAACCCTACTCCTTAATCTGGGGTGCTGGCACTCCTAAACTCCAGGCCTCAAATTCTCCTCTGTACCCTTGATTTATTTCTCTGCAGGCCTGCCAGGAAGCAAACAGGAGATCTTGAGCACAAAGGTAGGTGCATGTGCCCTGAGCCTTTGGGACAAATGTTCTGAGCAGCTTACCTGGCATAAACACCCAGCCCCGCTGGTGTCGGCTCTGCTCCGAGGCCACTACTCGGACCGTCTGTGTCACAGGACCATAGGCCTCTTGAAACCACTGGACATCAGACACCCGCCGTGTGTCACTCACCAGCTGCAGGGGAAGGACACAGACAGGTGACCAATGGGACATGGTGCTTCAAGTAAGGAGAAAGGGGGCTATAGAGCCAGAGCAAACTTAGCATTGGGGTACACACTTATAATCCCAGTGCTAGGGAGATGAAGCAAGAGGATCACTGTGAATTTGAGGCCAGCTTGGGCTACCTAGTGAGTACAAGTCCAGCCTGAACTGCATAGTGAGACCCAATCTCACCCAAAAAAATCAATAAATAGGGGCTGGGGATTTAGCTGAGCGGCATAAGCACCTTCCTTGCAAGCGTGCAGTCGTGAGTTCGATCCCTGCTACCGATAAAAACGAAAAAGACAATAAATAAATAAATAAATAAATAAATAAATAAATAAATAAATTTAAGGCTGGAGATACAGCTCAGCGGCACAGCGCGAGCCTGGCAAGCACAAAGTCATGAGTATGATCCCCAGTACCACAAAATAAATAAATAAGTTTAAATAAATGAACTAAACTAAATAAACACCAGAAACATAGCAGTAGTGCAGCTACTACTGTGTACTGACTGCCTGCCAGATGAACATTTGTCCAATCGAGGCACCAAAGGTGGCATCTACTGTGTGCTGCTCCTGAAGCAGACACTGAAGACAGTGGTGAGGACAATGCACCTTGTCCTGCACCCCAGGAGCTGACAATGCAGAGGAAAAGAGATGCTAAACAGCAGCTTCCCAAATTACACTGGGGCACAGCACAGACTGACAAGTATTTGGGCCTCCACATATTCAAGACAGCTCCTGATGTTGTCTCCAGTCCTGTCCCTCCCACACTTTCCCTATCTCAGAACTAACAGCTGTATGTGCCCAGCTGCTCAACATGAAATCCTCACACCTCATAGCTGCCCAACAACAACACAACTTCTGTCTGCTGTCTTTAAACTACATGCAAAACTGGCAACTTCCCTGCACCCACCACAGCTCTGCCTAGCCCATTCATTTGTTCCTTCTTTCCTTCCTTCCTTCCTCTCTCTCTCCCTCTGTTTCTTTCTCTCTCTCTCTCTCTCTCCCTCTCTGATTCTGTTTCTCTCTTTCTCTCTCTCTCTCCCTCTCTGATTCTGTTTCTCTCTCTCTCTCTCTCTCTCTCCCTCTCTGTTTCTGCTTCTTTCTTTCTTTCTTTCTTTCTTTCTTTCTTTCTTTCTTTCTTTCTCTTTTTGAGATGGGTCTTATTCTCCAGTTCAGGCTGGCCTGAATGCACAGCAATCCTCCTGCCTCAGCATCCTAAGTGCTGGAGTCACAAAGTGGGAAGCCTTTTTCTTTCTTACAATTTGTTTTCTGGTACTGGGGACTAAACCTAGGAGCTGAGCGTGTGCTCTACCACAGAATCAGACTCCCCCCTGCCTCTTAAATCTTTTTTTTTTTCTTTCAGTACTAGGGATTGAGCCCAGTCTTCTCAGTGCCATTAAGTTGGGTAGGCTAAACTCAAACTTGTGAACCCTGCCTTAGCCTCCCAGAATGTCAGGTTATATATGGGTACCATCACACCCAGTTTAAATCTTAAAATCATTAACTCTGCTCTGTGCAAAAGCCCCAGTGACTCTGTTATTCAGAGTAAAATCCAGCCTCTTTCAAGGTAGTTCTGACCTTCACCTCCCACAGATCACTACTGGCTCCCAGGCTCTTCTTCAAACACATCAAGCACCTCCCTGCTGTGCAGCTCCGTTTCACCTTATCCACTCACCTGTATCCACTGTATCCACTCAGGTCACTCGCTCCTTCCTTTCCTTCAGGTGGGAGCACCTCATCATGTAAAAGAGATCATCCTGACAACCATAATCAAACACCAACCCTCAGCAGCCCACTTACACCTTGGCCTGCTTCATTTTGCTTCTTAGTATCTATTTCTACCTGACATACTCTATTTCTTTTGTGCCTATCTCCTTTCATGCCCATGTATAATCTAAGTTGCTGAAAGGTGGAGAATTCATTGCATTCTGCACCATTGTAGCCCCAGGCCCATGCCTGGCATAAGTAGTCTGGCATTTGCTGCCAGAATGCACGAGTTAAGAAAGGGGTAGGTGTGATAGGAGCACCTATCAGCCACAACAGTGAAGCCTTGTAAAGCGAACAAAAAAGTCACTGCAGGCAGGTAGGAAAACAAGGTCCAGATTCCAGAGGAATCTGATTTAAAGAACTAGGGGAGGCTAAAGGGGAGGCTAGGGAGCTGCAGCTCCAGAAGTAAGGAGATCAAAAGGTGGCAAGAGCTGGATCATACAGGGGATAGACCAGTGGTGGCGAATCGTTAGAGCTTTCAGTGACACAAACAGTCCACTGCAGCATGTGTGCTGTAGGTTTGCCACCACTGAGGCCCTAGACATTCATGTTAAAAACTGACTTTGTTCCTGAGCCCCATAAGGAGCCACCAAAGTGTCCCAAACATAACACTGACATGACTTGGTTTGTGTTTTTAAAAGGTCGCTCTGGCTGGTGTGTGATAAATGGATTGCAAGAGGCAACAGCCAGAGTAAGGGACCAATATCAGGGCTACTACAACTACTCAGGAAGAGCTGGTGGGACTTGGATGTGGCAGAGATCGCAGAGACACAGAGGGCACAGCAGACGGTTGAAAAGCCAGGGTTTCTTCATGTTCCATGGAGCCGTCTTACCCACACTGGCTGGGAGACGCCCTCCACGATCTTCCTGCAGAAGAAGCCAGGATCAGCCCGGCGCTTCTCCTCCCCCCAGCGGATCATGTCACTCCGATGAGCCTCTTTGTAACTGCTGGCATCCAGGAGTCTCTCAAAGTTCAGGCCATGCTCCTGCACAAAGCATATCACATCTACAGTGCCAGTCCCTCAGCCAGTCAGATCACCCCTTTCCCATGCCAACGCAGGGATAGTGAGCAAGCTAGCAAGCTTTCCACCAAGTCAGAGCTCCAGAAAGGAAGAAATTCTAGCCCCTCAAAGATGGAAAGATGGTATCAATATAACCCAGAAATCCTTTCTCCGTGTCTTTGAAATGTGTGCTGTGCTTTCTCTTTTGCAAGTTTTACCTTCTCAATTACTTCTTGCTTCAACTAATCCCAAATTGGTTTGCATCCCTTGGGTGCAGGCTGAGCTTTCAATTTAAGTGAGAAATTTAAAAAATAAAGTAAAATAAATCCTGCATTCCACATCCTCCACTATCCCTTCTAGCAACATCTGCATCCATCTCAAATTCTGACCATCTCCCACTTTCCACCTCAACCTCTTACACACCTGTTTCTGGCACTCTGCTGAAGCAGCTTCACTCTGCCACCCCCAGATGGAGGATGGCTGCACTGACCCCCTAGGAGCAGCTTCCAGACTCCTCCCCAACCTGCTGCTGCTCCTGGGACACTGCCAAGCAGCCAGGTCTGTCCAGAGGTCCCAGGACAAAAGAAGCCTGAAAAACTTCATCAGTTCCACTTCTGGCTCCCTATAAACTGGTTGCAGCAAGACTTTCTCCCCGGGGCTGGGGATTTTGCTCAGCGGCGTAAGCGCCTGTCTTGCAACCATGAGTTCGATCCCTGGTACCGGTAAAAATACAAAAATACAAAAAAACAAAAACAAAAACAAAAAAGACTTTCTCCCCTTAGGCACTCAGATTCATATCCCATCCACTAACCCCGATGCCAGGTAAGGTAAGAAGCGCCCTCCTGCTTGTGAACCCTGCTTGTCAGTTATGTTTCCCATTGAGTCTAAGAAGTGAGTGCATTCACATTTCATGTTGGGTCTGTGCAAGAGGGAATAGAGTGTTGCTGGGCCTCCAAACAAGGGCAGGCTAGCCTCCTCAGGAGGTCTTAAAAATGCAAAATGCAAGGCCAGGTGTGGTAGCACACATACTGGTAAACCCAGCAGGAAGGCCGAGGCTGGGGAATTGCAATGAGTTCAAGTCCAGCCTAAATTTAATGCACTATGAAAGACACTGTCTAAAACAAAAAAAAATTTTTTTTAATTTTAAAGTAATGCAGCTAGGTGGGTAGTGCAACAGTCCTATAACCCTACCACTCTGGGAGGCTGGGGATTGGAGGACTGTTAGTTCAAGCCCAGAGTTTAGCAACTTTGGCAAGATCAGCCAAACTTAAAAAATATTAATTAATTAATTAATTAAATGACAGATAGAGATGTATCTCAGTGGAAAGTCCATGTTCAATTTCCAGTCAGGGGGCAGGGCAGGGGGCAACAAGCAGATTCTTGGAGCTTGGAGTGTGGCTCAGTAGCTGAGGGTATTTTATTTTGTTTTGTTTTTTTGATACGGTTCAGGCTGAGCTTGAACTCACTATGTAGCCCAGGCTGGCCTCAAACCTCCGTGATCCTCTCCTGCTTCAGCCAGGCATGCACCACCACACCTGGCCAGTAACCTAGCATTTATCCAGCTTTTGTGAGGCCCTGGCTTCAATCCACAGCACCAGAAAAACAAAAACAGAAATGTCCTGACCTTTCCTTGCTCACCATCTCACCACCCCCATTATCTGTCTGGCTCAGCAGGTCTGGAGTGGGCCAAATTTGGGAATTTGGGAAGTAGACTAATGCTTCTGAAAGCACTCTTCAGGTCCCACTGGGGAACACTCAGTGTCTCCCGCTTCACCTTCTTTTCTCCTCCCCCAGCCCCCACCAGTCACCCCCACTCTGTTCCCTGGTTACAGGAAACTTCTACATCCAACTTCATTTGGGAGTCTGCCTTAAAACTGCAAAACCACTAAACATCCCAGGACTCCTTTATTATAGACAGCTAAGTCACGTAAAAATATTACAGACAGTCAGACAGGAATAGGCCTCCAAGAGTCAGTACAGAGAATGAGAATGCATTACAACTCTGGCTAAAGCAGAAACAGTGGTGCATGCCTGTAATCCTAGGAATTGAGAGGCTGAAGCAGGAGGATCATCCTCCATTTGAGGCCAGCCTGAACTACATAGTGAGAGCCTGTCTCAAAATAATTAATTAAAAATTTTTAAAAATATATATACATATGGCTGAAGGCATATCCACTGAAGGCCAGGCCTCAAGATAAAGACAGAATGACCAGGCCTAAATGCTACACTGAGGAATAAGCAATATAACTGGTATCACTTGGTCTAACAGTCTCACTAAACATCAGTCATCCAGGTAGCTGACTAGGACCTCCCAACTCATCTCTTTCAAAAAAAGTCCTTGTTCTTTCCATGTATACTTGCAACGTAACTTGCCTCCCTATTAGATCAACATTACTAAGCAGCTATACTTGCAATCCTAGTTTTGTCCTATGTTATACCCAACTCATGATTTTGGGTTTTTTTTGTTTGTTTTTGTTTTTTTTTTTAAGAGTGTAAAATTAAACAGAACAAAACAGATCATAAGAAATTTTAAGAAACACAGATTTCAAAGCAAGACCACTGGAGAGCTTCACTGTCTATCATATTGTCTCTTGTTTTCTTCCAAATCGTTGTCCATATCTTCACACACAGTGAACAGATACTGAACACATACTAAACAATATTGTACTAAACTGATCAGAACAGGATGATGAAGGTTTTAGATCTTCAAGACCAGACAATAGGGAAGTCAACAGTGGCTGCTATAATGCCTCTTGTTCTCTTCAAAATAGCTGCCCGTATCTTTACATATGTTGAAATTAAACAAAAGAAAACACACTAATACCACTCTGGACAGAGAATAATAGTATTGCTAGATTTTATATCATGATGCTACAGAATTAGCACCGGGTATCTTAGTGTCTCATTTTCTTCAGAGTATCTCTTCATTACAACGTGCATTATAGAATCTATTCTCGTAAACTGTTTAGAAGCTCTACACATGTGTGAATCTCTACATGTATACTTATCCTTTCTGTACTAGAGGGAAAAACAAATCAAAACACCACACAAATTCCTAGAAAACATGAAACGAAAAAGATATAAAACCACAATACTAGGTGATCTACAGTAGTTACTATGATGTCTCTTGTTATTTTCAATAGAATTGTCTATATCATCAGGCATAATATGATTGAACATAGCATTGCATAGCTATATTAATAAAAATAAAACATTGGAGACAGTATAGGACTTCAAAAGCAGTTAATAATCAAACTGGAATGGGTATCCTATTGGATCTTGTCATCTTCAGGGTAGTTACCTTTGCTCTTAGACTTGATACTATCAAGCATACCAAATTCAAATAAAATCAGTCAAGACAACCAGCGATCTAACAAACCAGATTCAAATAAGATCAGTCATAGTAAGACAGTGTCAGTAATACAGGGCTTCAGTTTAAGTTAATAGGAAATTAAGGATAGTTACCATGGTATATCCTGCTATTTTGGGGATAGCTGTCTGTGCCCTCATATCTATTATGAGTAGACAGACTGGAACAGAATAAAATCAAACTAAACAGAGTGATAAGACTAACGTGTCTTTTAAATCCTGATACACTATTAACAATGTCTTCTCCTTCCTTTTTTAGACAATTCCTCCCTTTTCCCTTTCTCAGGGTGCTTTGTACATTTTGGGTCCCACTAACTCCTTTAGTTTTTAGATTGGGGGGCCACCCACTATCTACCTAAGTGGTTCTGAATCTTTCTACCCCTGAGCTTGATCTTGAGCTATATTCCTTCTGAAGCCTCAAGGTTTTCCTTCCTTATAGCTGAGTAGTTCTCCACTGCGCAAAAGTGTCATGACTTTCCACATATCTGCAGCTGCTGGATGAGTTGTCCCTATTTCTCTCTGGTTCCCTGTCACATACAGCATTATCTTCTCATCTTTGACTTTCGGTTCATTAACCCTCTTTCAGGGGATTATATTTCCTATTCAGAGCATCTCGATGAACCCTATCTCCTGATCTAATTTGCCTGTGTTTCTTTTTATTAAGTATACAAGGCCATCTGTGTTAAAAATTACAGCCAGTCTTCTCTGCCTCATCTCTGCTATGCTATTTTTCTGATGTTGTTTGTCTACTTTTCTCCTTCATTCCACTGTCTGCCCCGTTCAATGAGGCCTCCTGCTTCTTTGCTCATGTTTTTTATTCTTAAGTTATAGAGCCTCTTGCCGTCTTCTAGCCTTTGTATTGTTACTTCCTGTTTCCTTGTTATTCTTGAGAGATCTTTCCTTTCATGATCAAACATTGCAAATCTATCTTCAAGTTCTGAAAGTCTAACTTTAGTTTCTGTCAAGGAATTCTGCCAGCTTTCAGTGGAGTTTTTAATTTCCTGGTAATCTCTTTGGATCTGTTTCATGTGTTTCAGATTCTGTTTATATTCTTCATCAAAGATTTCTCTCCTTTCTCTGGGTCCCTCCATTCTTCAATCTGTGTCTTCTTGAGAGGGGGTGCTTAGCATTTCTTTTATTAATCTTTTTATATCTTGCCTCTCTTGAATTAGAATTTCAGTTTTAAGTTCATCTATGAGGTCCCGAAGGTATTTCTTTATGTCCGCTGATGCTGTGTCCAATATCACATGTTTGTTGCCCTTGATCTCTTCTGTATTTATCTCTCCTGGACTTATTTTCACTAGGTCAGCAGCAAGAGGCTTTTTCTTGTTTCTTTCTCTTGTCATGTTTCTGGTGTCTTTCAGACAGGTATATGGTGGAGGTCTCAGGCCCTTTTCTGTACTGCTTACGGTTTTTCTGAAGCGTGCTGGCTGGGGGATTGCTGCCCTCTCCAGTTTGCTGTTATCTGAGGTGCACACAAGGACGATGTAGGCTGGCCCCTCTCCCCTGAGCCAGTTAACCAGCGAGTGCCTTCACTACATTAGTGTGTGCCATGCAGCTGTCGTACATTCAGGACAGTTTCATCCCTGGCTATTGGGTCCTGCTCAGGGGTGTGA